CTTGGAGTAGATCGCTCCTCGAAGTTGGTTTTTTTTTGGTTGTTTCTTGACTTGCCGGTCGAGTATGGCCCAGAGGTTTTCGATGGGGTTCATGTCAGGAGTTTGGCTCGGCCAGGGCAACTTCTGGATATCATTTTCTTGCTGCCACTTTTGGGTGTTTCTAGTAGTGTGACACGGTGCTCCATCTTCCTCGAACAACGCTGTGTTCTTGTCCACGAAACCCGAGGGCAAAATATTGTAGGAAGGACTCTTGCCACTTTATTCATCGGGCTTCGTGGACAAGAACACGTATTTCGCAAAATTTATGTTGCCAACGCACTGCACTGAGCTCGATCTCCCACCAACTCAAAGAGCTCCCCAAACCATCACGCTGAAACCATCATACTTCACAGTTGGCTGCAATCGGTTGCGCCAAAACTCTTGGTGAGGCATTCTCTAGACCCATATCCTTCCACTGTCCGAAAATTGAGAGAATCTTGATTCGTCTGAGAACAATAAGGTCTTCCAAAAGTCCAGAGGCTTCGTCATCATATCACTTGCCCACTTCTTTCGTCTGACTATGTTGGCAAGTCTTAATAAGGACTTCCGTCTAGCTGCTCTGCAACGATAACTCAATCTGTGAAGAATCCGTTAAACAGATTTAGGGCTCATCCCACCAACTTTGGCCACTTCTGCATTCGTTAATCTGGGATCTGTTTCGATGCTCCTCTTGACAGCCCTTTTCGTGCTCTCCGATGGACCAGGACGACCCTCAAGCAGATGGTGGAATAAGTCAGCGGCAAATTTAGCAGAATTTGGGAATCCCAATTTCGACAGTCAACAGAATCATCGTGCAGTTCAGGAAACACGGCAAGGAAACACCCGAGCATCGTCCCAGATTTTGTTATAGAAAAGATAGTTGGCTCGAATTGTCTCAAGGTTCTACAACATGCCTAGAAAGCACAAGATAAACTATATAAATGAAAATGGTCCGCACACTAATTGTGTTCACAGAGCTTGGTTAGTATAAATCAGTTAAATGACAAAAAATTAGGGTCTATTTACTTGTGACCACTCAGTGTACAGTAGTGAGTTGTCTGATAGTCAGTCAGTAGACACTAAAATTATGTGACGCGTAACATTGTAATTTGTACTGTCGTGACGTTAGTAAAACGTGGACATGCCATGAATCACAAGAAAATTATGCAATCTGTAGGCTACAACACAGCATTATATTCATATATTATGAACTTGAAAAGCAAGAAATCAGAATATTTTGTTTTATTTACTTTTAATTTTGTTTTACTCTTGAAACGGAAGTCTTTCGGGGACCCTGCGGAAGTACATCTAGTATATCGTTATCATCAGCGACAAACATTTTTTATTTCAGTCACGTGAAGCCACGTTATACTATACGTTCGTTTGATACGTGAATTACCGAGAAACGGATTCTATCAGAACACGTGATAATCGATATTTGAAATATCACAAGAGGATACGCTCATTAAAAATTATATTACAACTAGCAGGTGACTGTAGAAATAATTCAACGGTACGTTTCCTAAACATAGTGATGAATAAATATAAAATGTGCAGTCAACCCAGTCCCTTGGACCAGAGTGTGTATGCAATATGATTGTTTAGTGGGCTGTTTGCAACCGTCCTTTGTCATTCCATGTGTTATTTCAATAACAAAAATTGCATTACACTTGTTTTTAAGCAAAGGTTTGTTTGTTTGTTTGTAGTTAAGCACAAAGCTGCACAATGAGCTATCCGTGCTCTGCCCACCACGGGTATCGAAACCATGATTCTAGCATTGTAATTCCGCAGACATACCGCTGTGCCACTGGGGGCGTTAAGCAAAGGAGACCGAGTACAATGTACAAGGAGACTGAGTACAATGTATAAGGAGACTGAGTACAATGTACAAGGAGACTGAGCACAATGTACAAAGAGACTGAGTACAATGTATAAGGAGACTGAGTACAATGCACCATTGTACTCAGTCTCCTTGTACATTGTACTCAGTCTCCTTCTCCTTGTACATTGTACTCAGTCTCCTTGTGCATTGTACTCAGTCTCCTTATATTGTACTCAGTCTCCTTGTGCATTGTACTCAGTCTCCTTGTACATTGTACTCAGTTTTATAAGGAGACTAAGTACAATGCACAAGGAGACTGAGCACAATGTACAAAGAGACTGAGCACAATGTACAAAGAGACTGAGTACAATGCACAAGGAGACTGAGTACAATGCACAAGAAGACTGAGTACAATGCACAAGGAGACTGAGAACAATGCACAAGGAGACTGAGTACAATTTATAAGGAGACTAAGTACAATGCACAAGGAGACTGAGCACAATGTACAAAGAGACTGAGTACAATGCACAAGGAGACTGAGTACAATGCACAAGAAGACTGAGTACAATATAGAAGGAGACTGAGTACAATATAGAAGGAGACTGAGTACAATGTATAAGGAGACTGAGTACAATGCACAAGGAGACTGAGTACAATGTACAAGGACACTGAGTACAATGTATAAGGAGACTGAGTACAATGTATAAGGAGACTGAGTACAATATATAAGGAGACTGAGTACAATGTAGAAGGAGACTGAGTACAATGCACTTTTGGCAAAACTTTGATTTTCGATGCAATCGGTGCATCCAGCACAACAGAGAGCTTATGTTCACTAAGTAATCACGCTGGAAGCCACCATTCCTCGTCATTTTACTTTATAATAGTTGTAATTTCTATAAGAAGCGTCAAGGAGGAGATATTCAATGAAAATGTATTTATTCGACATGATAAAATCAAATCACGACTGTATATAATATACGACATGAACAAATAAATACAAGTTACTAGATGCGTTTCTCTGCTCATGCTTCTATCTTCGAGACATTTCTTTCAATCAGTCGATGGAGGACGTTCCGTTTTTTTTTTTTTTTT